GGTTAAATGTCTAAAAAAAATGTACTCAAAAATTCTCAATATTGATCCGTTTATCTGAAAACTGCACACAGATTTGAATATTTAATGCATGTTTATGATTTTCCTCTTGAATATCTGCAAAGGTAGAATATAAAATGTCCTTATTTTTGGACCTGATTCAGTTCTTGTTACCTTCATAGATCGATCTGACGGATCAAGGATAAAAAAACAAACAATCCTGAACGTCTTTCTTTCTTTGTCTGTCTGCTGTTTTTCCGTCCTGCTGCGTTCGGAAGCTCTCCGATCGGAGAAAAGGACTCGTCAGAGAGGACAGACAGTCCCAAGGAGTAAGTGACCAAACCCGAGTCAGATCAGAGGAAAATCAGAAGCTTAAAGGAAGAAGAAAATGTTTTTCTTCAGCACCTTCAGAGGAGCTGGCATTTTCTTCCTCCTCCTCCTCATCCTGCTTTCCCTTTTATCTGTCTCTGAAACGTCTGTCCCTGTCCTCCTCTATCCCGTCCTGTAGCTCCGCCCAACTGAGGGAGGAGGGTCCGTCTGGGCCGCTGGTCTCTACAATGAGACGCGGCCGAAGCCTTAGTGAGTGAGTGTGCATGCTTCCTCCGACCAGGCCAGCCCTGCTTACGCTAACGGCTGACCCATCATTGAATAACAAACTCATAACAAACATTTAACGCGTGTGAGACGAACTGCAGCTAACATTGCAGGTTCTGTTGGAGGGATTTAGGAAGAACATCTGATCTGCTAACTGGGTGAAGCTGAATCAGGCACAGCTGGACGTCCGGGCTTGTTAGACACCTTCGTTTATCCATCCTTGAATTCTCTGGAGGTTTCCAGTCAAATCCTCCATGCAGATGCTCTCACACCCACCTTTTAGAGTTCAGGTTCTCCTTAGAACCCTGCAGACATCCTGCAGCCTCCCTCTCAGCTTGAACGGCTCTTTCAGCTGCAGATGTTTCCTGCATCCGAGGCCATTTTGTTGGAAAATTATGATGATGCTTCTCTGCAGGCAGTAACTGAACCAGAAAAGGGTGTCTGTGTCTGAACGTCCACCCTAACCACTATATAGGGCACTACATAGGGGATACGCCACTTTAGATGAGTGTCCGAACTTCTAGTGGATGAAAAAGTAGCAGTAGTAGTAG